TCGAGAAGCTGCAAAAGACACAGGCGCAAGTGGAATGTACAAAACATGGTGACAAATTTTTATGTAAATACTGTATAATGGGCAATATATTGCACCACCAAAAATTATTGAGGTCATGTACATATATTGCGCGATAAGTCGATATATTGATTATTGCGACAGGCCTACGTGCGAGACACTTTTTTTTATAGATGGGCGATTTTTATTTAACTTGTTTTGGACTGAAGCATGCAACACCCGCTGACTGCCATTAAACAGCTTGAAAGATCAAAGACAATTTTTAATATAACTCTGACTGGATTCGTCTGAAAGAAGAAAGTCATACACACCTAGGATGCCTCGGGGGTGAGTAAAACGCAGCCTAATTTTCATTTTTGGGTGAACTAACACTTTAAGACTGGTCTTGTGCTCCAGGGTCACAATTATCATGCTCTCCCTTTATCTATTGCTTGTTTGAGTGATGTGCTCATTCATTTGGTGAATTTAAAAAGAAACTTGCTTATGTTAAAGACAGTTATGTTGCTTATGTTATGCAAAAACAGTTTTGCATAATGAAAATACTCGCATTGAATTCATTCAGTCATGTCAAACAATCACTAAGCTTTTGGCTACACTGTGTGCCTGCCCAAAATGCTATTAAAAACCCTGCCTTGGATGATATAAGTATTTTTAGAAATCCTTAGTTTTATATTTTAGAAAATAGATTATTTTCCCCACACTGTTTTCAAATTCCATACTTTTCCATACTGCATAGGAAGCCTAATGTTTTGATGGCTGATTACAAAAAGAGAGCAAAAAAAATGAAATGTAAACTCACCGTCCTTTTCTGTGCTTGCTGTGGATGATCCATGTATGATGATGAGTTTGCTGTTGTGTTCTCTGCGCACAGTCACTCTGCTGGCTCTGAAACACACGCATATACATTCTCATGGCAGAATGTATACATGATGAGAGACAATGAGAGAAGGCGGAAAAAGTTGAGCTCACCTGCAATTCGGACATTTCCTCGGGCCCATGTATACTCTCCAGAAACTGTTAATGAGACTGGACTTTTTCTCACAGATATGTTTGATCTGAAATCAAAGCAAATTTATAAAATGCAATTAGAAAGTGCACAGAGACAATAATATGACTAAAGTAAAAGATGTAAAAGACAAAACAGGCGAGATGGATGAGTTTCAGACTCACAGGGGCAGTTTGCTGCTTGTCGTCACTGGCTTTAAGAACGGGTGAAATGAACGCCTCCAGAGCTTCTTGGATTTCTATTCCAGACGGCTTAGCATTGACCTCCAGCAACTTGGAGAGGATGACAAAAACGCAATATATAAGCACTTCAGTCCAATGAATGATGCTTCTCTCTACAAGATAAATTGCTATGACCTAAATGAGAATAGCTCTTCAATATTTTCTGACCTGATTGAGAACGTTCTCAAGCTCATACACCTCCTTCATCGCACCCACGTCCAGGAGCTTCAGCTGGCCCAGCAGCAAATGAACAGCCGTTCTGGGACACTTCAACATGTGGCATCCCAGGCATGAACCCCGGATGAGCAAATATAATTTCTGTAAAGACATTGACGTAAGGGATTACACTAGCTATAGTTTATGTATAGGTTTCTTCAAGCGTCTTGGAGATGTTGCCACAGTTCTTCTGGGTTTAGTCTGTCTCAGTTTTTTTCTGTTTCTTCATGTCATTCCAGACAGACTGGATGATGCTGAGATCAGATCTCTGTGTGGAGCACTGGCTGCTGTCAAATTCCTTGTGCATACAAAAATCTCACTGGATTATTACAATTAATGGCAAAAGGAATGTTTGGTACTGATATTTCCTACTGACACACTACAGCAAAAGATAGAAATAACTGACTTAAAACCATTTTTTAGCTGTCACTGGATTATTACAATTAATGGCAAAAGGAATGTTTGGTACTGATATTTCCTACTGACACACTACAGCAACAGATAGAAATAACTGACTTAAAAACATTTTTAGTTGTTGAAAATACTAGTAGCCTAATGGTGCGTTCAAGTCATGTCGGATAGATCGTATTTACGAGTTGAACGCACATGAACGCCACCACAAAGTCGTTATTACGAGTGGGAAACTCAAAATTTTCTTTAAGCCCCGAGTTTCCGAGTTGGGGGCGTGTGTCAGTGAGAAACATGGCGGAATCGATGGATGCAATGTCTGTAGTTGACGGTAAATTTTTGTTTAAATTGATAGTTTAGTTGTCCTATAAATTGTTACGCAGCTAGTTAATGAAATCCAAGTAAAAAAATGCTAATATGCAATATGAAAATAATTGAAGACAAAATGTGTTTTACTGAGAAAAAACAAGATTTGGTGTTTAAAAAGCCTTTTTCCAAAAGGTACATCTGGAAAAATAGGGGTCGTCTTATAATCAGGGTCGTCTTATATTCGGGCCAATACGGTACGAACGTCCCAGGAGGACTTGAACTTGAACGCAGCATAAGACTTTTGCACAGTACTGTGTATATATAGTCCTACGAGGTAACAACAGAAAATAGAATGACAGACTATTCACCCCAGATAAACACATAACATAATTGCATGAAACCTGCAAAGGAGGACATGCAACTGCACAATGACACTTACATCAAAAAACATAGGGTTGTAGACGGGAAGGGGCAGATCTACGAGACCAAAGTGGCCAGGGCAGCTGGTGTAGTCTTGCATGCAGGTGGAGCAGATCTCCTTGTTATCAGCTGGACCCAGCGCCAGGTCATACAGCCCGTTAGCCGCGGCATTGCCCACATTATCCAACAGCTGGGAATTAGTGATACTTTTCACACTCAGCTTCCTGTGACACAGACAACACGGGGAAGTTGTCAGAAGGTCTATATATAAAAATAAGTATTATTGTTTTACTGTTTACGTTTCATTCAAACGTAACGAAACACTTCAAACAGACATGTTGTGGCAAACACTGTCCAACTGTCACAACTTACCGCATTTAGTGTGACAGCATATGGGGCACGTTGCCATAAAGTTCAACATGTGTTAAATTAACTGTATGTTTTAAACAGGCATTACCGATGGGTGTCTTTACAGTAATACGCAACTGAGCTCCGGCTAGTTTGTTTAGCTGTGTTGGGTAAAGCGTATTATTACCTTATTTCATCGGCGGAGAACAAGCCAAACGACATGCCCTCTAATCGCCTCCATGGTGTTTCTTTTGAAAACAGCATTTTCCCAAAAAGAAATACATAAATCAAAAGAGAGATCTCTCTGTATTCCCCGCGTGCGTCGTGTGGCGCTGTAGCGCGTGGGAACGTGTCCCGAGCGAGCGGACGAGACCAAATAACACGCAGCTACATTACACTTCAATACCTACAAACGCGAGAGAAGTAGGGACGTTGGCATCTAAAACAATAGCAGATCATAATTATGAGCTAGTAAACTATAAAACCTGAAAATGAATATTTTATGGGGCCGTATGAAGAATAGTTTATTTATATTGTTTGTTGAGATCGGTTGAGATGGTATATCCCGACCGCAGAAAACGAACAAATGGTAGAATGGAAATTAATTCGAAACTGAGTAAAAATAATAGTTATTCTTTTTTTAAACTCTTCGTTTTTTTTATTTTATTTTAATCCAATTAGTTATTAAACTTTCTGCATCATTATCTAGACGTAAATTATTGTCTTGACCGTTGAAATAATAAAAAAGTAGTACTGCTGCACTCGTGCCATGATGACAACAAATGGTACAAGTTGTAGCTCTCAGAAAATTCCCAGTTCACAAGCTCTAAGAGGTTTTACAAGTTGGTTTCTCGTGATGGCGTGAATTTATGCTTGAGCTTCTGTAGAGGGTTTGGTCACATGATAGGTGTGACCTTTCTCAGCGCTACACAGGATGGACCAATCACAGCTCACTGCGGTGGTGCCGCGGTCATCGCTGCTTCCTGAGCCGCCACGCGCCCCCTGCAGAAGTGACTCTATTATTATTTGATGGGAGCGTCAGAGCGCTAGTGAAGTGAAGCGCCACCGGATGAGTTTCGAGCACGCACTTCGGTGTCATGGCGTCCTCCTGCTCGCAAGCTGTCAGGCAGCATGTGTGTAAGAGCAGCACAATACTGCGCGTTCACCTGCAGAAGGCATGGCCTAAGAGGTAAGATAAAAGCACAAGGACAGGCTTATTTGGCCCGTTTTATTAAATGACCTTTTCTATAATTTTCATGTATGTAAAGAAGAAACGACTGGTTGTCTGTAGGTCATTTCAAGGGGCTGTATGTGTCCGCTCAAGTGTTATCAGGCGCATGAAAACGCTCATTATCTGGTTTGTTTACAGGAGTTTTGTTCTGAATTCTGCTGCAGATCAACAGCCTGCCGTTTCTTCTCCAGGTCTGACAGTTATGTCTTTTTATTAGGAATATGCATATGCTTTATTAAATTAACATGCTTTCTAATCAGAAATAAATGTCAGAAATGCACGTTTCTTTTTTCTTTATTTTAATTTTTTTCAGAAGAAATAGTAATTCCAAAGAAGAAAACATGGTACTGGTCAGATCTGAACACATGGTTTATAACTCATAAATTCACATGATCAGTGAATATATAGATTTCTAAAATCATTCTATTAATTATTTAATAATTTATGCATTAACAATGAATTAATTGTTACTGTTATCAGGAGTAAAGAGGCTGTCTTACAGGCACTGGCATCCACTGTGAACAGGGTATGTTCATCAGACAACTCTAACAAGCATGTTACAATGCATTGTTATCTAATATCATGTAATCATAGTAACTGTGTGCATGTGTTTGTTCTAGGATCCTACAGCCTCAGATCACAGATTACAGGATGATCCATATCTCACTCCAAAAACATCATCAGAGTTTGTGCGTTTTGGCTATCGAACCGTTTCAGGTTTTCAGGTTACACTATTAGAGAGGTTCACGATCGGCGCTTGTTATGGTAGCTTGCCATTTTTAAGACCAGTAAAGACTTTTCTACAAACATATGATTTCTCAGTTTAAACTGAATTTTCTCTCAGTTTAAATCATTTCTTCATCTGTGAGTATGCCATTTGAGCTTCACGAATGGCCCAACACAGCAGCACTGGAAACAAATGATTATTTCGTGAAGCTACTGCCTCAGAAAGCACACACTTTACATGAATAAAATGAATGTTTATTTAAACATTGAAATAATGAATGTGTTTAAGTTGTCATAATTTGAAGTTAGATGCACATTACATTAACTTCTTTTTTGTACTGCTTTGCTGCTCAAGAAAGATTTCTTATTATTATTAATATTATTATCATTGTTGAAAACCCACTTTTGAATGGTAGTGTAAGATTAAAAATATATATATATATACATTTATCTAACAAGGACACATTAAATTGATCAAAAGTGAAAGTAAAGACGTTTATAATGTTACAAAAGTTAAAGGTTTAGGGCTGCCACTAACGACTATTTTTATTTTGATTAACCTATCGACTAATTTATCGATTAATCTAAATGATTAATTTCCCACAACAATTTTAAAGAACATTTAATTAAACTTGCAACTTTGCCATTTAGTAGTGTACCATAAAAAAAGTATAAATGTAAACAAGCCATTGACGAAATGTAAAACTAAAAGAGTAAAAATGTAAACAAACCTAATAAAAATTAAATAAAAAGAAAATAATTACAAAAGTCTGAGAAAGTCAGCATGTTCTTAATGTCAATATATCCACATGTTCTGGGCTTCTGTTCATTACAGCTGTGAGTGCAACTACAAAGGGGAAATAAATCTGTTTCAATTAACCCCAACAGTTGGGTTTTCACATTAAATAAACGCAATGTTTAGAGTCCACTAGAATCAAGTATTAAAATATTATTATTATTATTAGAAATTTTAAGTATTAAAAGTACTCTTAGAAATGTGTAAACAACAAGCAAGTGTCCATCTCATAGTCCAAATCACTGAAATCAGAGTTCAGTATTATAGTGTAAGAATGACAACATGTCCACGTGTTCTAGTCTACTAATAATAAAATATTATAATTAATAATTAATTTTTGTGGTAAAAAATGAGGCAATAATAATTAGTTCAAATAAAATATAAAAAGCAAGAAATCGTATGGTTCATATGGTTTAAACTGTTAAAATATTGTATTATAATGTAATAGAGCCACTGATCTATATATAATTATAAAAATTATAAAATAAATCTCTATTATAGATCAGTGAATAGAGCTTAAT